ATAAAACTCTCTCTTATACATGAGTCGCCGTGGATTTGTTTCTCCAAAGTACCTAGACTAATACAGGTGCTATAGCAATACGTGGTGAAGCAAGCAGATGGCACCCAGCTATCAGAAAGAAAAGGAGTCTTAAAGGGTTTTCTTAAAACAAGGTGAAGCATCAACTAAGTCCATGTGGAAGAAGCACACCATCCTTTATGATTCAAGGATTGTAAATAATAAAATTCAACTCTGGAGAAGGGAACAGTATTAGAGCTTAAGTTCTGGACACACAGTTTGCACAAGGCTATAGATAACAGTGGAAGCTCAAAGTCCGTTCGCAGAGTTCCCATGTAGATTTTGCCTCCAGTGAATCCCCTGGGGACCAGAGATGTGAATGGCTTTGCTATCGGACAGAGTGCACTGTGGGATGGGTTACTGGTTTTACTATTTCCTGCTTTCTTTTGAACTGAGGTGTTTCTCTATTTTATTTTGTCATTGTTAGTTTTGTCTCTTTGCCTTGGTTTGCTGTAGAAGAAATCCAGGATAGGTAAATCTCTAGAGACAGTAATTGGATTAATAGTTTCCTAGGGTGTGACAGGGGAGGTTGCTGGGCTAAGAACAATGAGCACAAAAAGAAGAATGTCCTAAAATTGATGGTGATGATGACTGTACAAATCTGTTTACTATGATTGAACTATTGAACTGTATGATTTGTGAATTATGTGTCACTAACACTGTTAAAAAAAGAAAATAACCAATAAAATGTAGAAAACTAACAAAAAAGGATTAGCATACTAGAAGAACAACTTAATAACATTACCTTAATATTGATTAAAATATCAGGTTTCAAGTTTAAGTTTTTGATTAATTCCATTTGGTCTAATGTACTTATGGCTTCCTGTGAAAATGATGGCATTTCAGTGATAATATAACCTGTAGAGAAACACAGAAGTTTAAAAGTTTTGTTATATTGTCAGTATAAGAATAAAGAAGGGTATTATTTATTATTATTACTTTATAAAATACTATCTAGTTATTGATGAATACTCAAGCAGGCCTGTGGTAGCTAGATAAATGTATGCCAACTTAATGTATCAAAGTGTTGGGTGGGATCCAACCTGCCATCAGGTCACAGCCTGATGGTACCTCCTTGTGGGCATGGCCTTCTCATAAGGAGGGTCCTGGGAACCCTCCAGCCCCCCCCACCTGCTACCAATCCTGAGAGCTTTCTTGATATATAATTACTTCTTGATATCAAGCTCTTCTTGATACGAACATGAGCACCATTGGATTTGCTTCTCTAGTCATCCTGGCCGAACACACATGAATCTATTTCAACCACAGGATTTGCCTCCAAGCTCATCTTTATTCTTCTCCCCTTCTTTTGCAAATGCTATAAAATTTGCCCTTTTCTGTTTAGACATCATCAGCTCCAGTAGGTTCTGTCTTGAGAAAATAGGTCCAAGGAGATTTCTGGGAACAGAAATCAGGGAGAAGATGGAGGGAATTGGGTGAAATCTGCTGATATCTAGAGTGCAAACTGGTGTCATTTTAGATCCCGTCTCTGCCTTAAAATACAGACTGGTGCCGAGCAATGCGGCCAGCGGCAGGACGTAGGGCTGGAACTCAGGGTAAGTAGGAAGCATCAGCAGGGACTATCAGCATTGGTCCGTGGACCACAGCTAGTCTGATGCTGATGCTGATGCTCAAGAGATCAATGCTAAAAGGTTGGGCCATCTGGACTTACTTATTTGTCACAGAGGGAACATCTGAAGAATAACAAACAAGCAAATAAAGCAGGACCCTGGGAATCTTGTGGCCAGGCCAAAAAAAAAAAAAAAAAAGAGCAACTCCAGAAAGGATTTGTGCCTCAGATAACACGTAAAGTTTTAAGTTGCTTGGCTATATTATTTTAGTTAAACCTCTATTTTTCTTTTTAACATTTTCTTTATTTTTAAGCACTTCATCCACATGCCATACAATTCAATAATTCAATCATATCAAGAAGAGTTGTACAACTATCACCACATTCTAGAGAACTTTCTTCTTCCTTATACTCACATATATATGTTATTCACATATATATATATTTTTAAATTCATATATATATATATTTTTTTTCTCATTGTGGCAAACATGCACAACAAAACATTCTCCAATTCCACAACCTCTACAAGTATAACAGTGTCATCGATTATACTCTTCATGTTGTACAACCATTACTGATATCCTTTTCTAAATTATTCTATAGCCATTAACATAAACTCAATGCTCCCTCAGCAACAGCGCTTTCTCCTTCCCCCGTGGTGACCATTGGCCAAGTCTGGTTTCTGTCTTTGTTTTTTAGTAGTTTTCTCGATAGAGTATTCACAGATCATACACTTCCATGGTTACACTGCTTTACAAAAAGAGCTGTATATACATCATCACAATCAGTGCTAGTGCATTTGGCCGCCTTTAGATGTGTTAAAGTAAACATACCAAAGTGAGCGACTTGTGGTGTGTTGAGCTTTTCCAACATGAGCTTTATGATCAGTTCATCTGGGACACTTTGGCCACTGAGCAGTATCGCTTGCAACTGTAAACAAGCATCGTATCAGCCGTTACTGTTCTACTGGCTGTGACACAGGGCTATTTCATCACAGCCCTTTGACATCTAGCATTGCTTACCATAGCTCCTGTTGGGGTTTTAGCCGAAATATGTTCTTCCAAAATCAATGCCGCTAAAGTAGGAATTCAAAATGTTAGTATACATGGGCATTAACCAGATCATCAAATTAATAAATCTATTGGAGTGTTTTGTACTTGGGAATAGAGATGAACACCTGGACACCAAAGCATATTTAGACATACTCCGCCAGTTAAGTGTAACCGAACACGAGGCGGCAGAATGTGTCCCGTGATGAACTTGTCTTCACCACGTGCCAACTAAAGGCTCGTGGGAAGTTAACGCCCTAAACAGCTCCACACCCTGGATGCAGGTGCCTTGTCTCAGAGGAGAACGCGGTGGTGAAGTGAGCCGACAGTGACAGTGGTGCATACATTGTGAAGTACTCTTAAGGCTACCAGGTGGATGCCACTCAGAGCTGCCCTATATTGGTTCTGACCTATAGTGACATTGTGCACAACAGAACCAATCACTGCCGATCCTCATCCTTGCTCCTGTGTGGAGGCCGCTGCTGCAGCCATTGGGTCAGTCCTTCTAGCCAAGGCCTTCCTCTCTTTGCCCCCCCTCTACTTCAGCAAAGCCTGAATCAGACGGTGTAGATGATGGGCAGATGGGTGCTCATTGTACCACTGTTTCCATTTTCCTGAATATGAGGAGAGCTTTATCATACAATGTTGGGGGAAGAAATAATATTTACCTTCGATACGAATGCATTTCCATGTCTGTGCTATATGATGGGCTAATGTTGTCTTCCCAGCCCCCTTAAAAAGAGAAATGCTATTTAAAATCCAATAGAATCGTGGTTACTCATATGCCAGTGCAA